ATTAATTCTGAATTCATAACATTCTTATAGTTTTGGCTTTGCTTGAAATGTTCAGGTCTATATCAAATTATTTGCAGCTAGTCACTGAACATATTGTACTATCCTGGGTAACACAAAATGATAATGCGAATGGTCAAGAAAATACTCTTACAATGTAGAAGAATAATGGAATTCTGGCCCAGAAACTGTTGTGTGCTCTCACAAAAGATGTCTCATGAGTGAGCCTGAATCTAGAAGGATCTGTACACAAAAGTAAATCTACATCAGCATCCAAGATGTTACACAGAACTAGGTAACTGAGAAATAAACAGATTGCTAAATCATTCTCAAGTAAGGAACTGCAAATTTCAAGGAAGGAATAACAAAGGAGTATAGAAATCTGCTAATATGGAATAATATAATACCGTACCATTTGAAAACTCATAATCATGAGACAAAGTTTCCTTCTCCCACTCTTTCCAGCGACGAATCTGTCCAAAGCAATTTTCAGCATTAAATTGGTGCTACCAGTTAGAAAGCTGAAGTGATAAAGAAGAAGAGATTGATTGTAGTGCAAAGTGTTGTCGTCAGATTTCTCTACATTGAGACACACAAAGAGAATCACTTTTGTCCAAATGGCTATGGTGAACTACATACTTAAAATTCTACATTTGATGCAAAATGAATTTTTCTCATCTTTTCTAAGTAGATTAGGAATCAAATTTCTTTTAAATCTAGAATTATTATATTATTTAGGAGTTCATTATTATATCTTAGTAGTATTAAGATTTTATTTATAGCTTACCTTTAGGTTATAGGCACCTTATCAGAATTCCTTAATTATTCTCCCTTGAAGAAACATCCTCAACTGTAGTTAGATTATAATTTAAATCGAAGCATTAAAAATTTCATATTATCACGTTTGAAGAAGTCCAGTTATTGAAAGGACTTTCTTCGTAAATTTTCTCGACTTTTCTGGTCATCTAATGCATAAATTCTTAAATGTGCTTCTTATGAATTTTTTAGGTGTGATATCTAAGGAACCCTAACTGCCATAACTTTGTCCACCCCAAATCTCTAAGCAAGGAAATCAGTCCTTAATCTTCATACATCAAGTTATATCAAAGTAAAATGTTCCTATATCCAAAAAATTCCTAATCTGCACAGAAGTCCCAAACAGAAAACACCCCTCATCAGCCGCTAGTTCAGACTTCCCACTAAACAATAAGGGGTGAATGATGCAGCAATCACGACTGGACTCAAACCACAGCAATTGGTCTACCCCCAGGGTCCTGTCCGCCAAATCCACCAGAAAGAGCCCGAAGCTCCACTGCATCACTAGATTGTCATTGTCCTAACAAAAAATCTGGCATCAACCACAAATCTACAACTACTGTCACCAAACGAGTCAACTGCCAGAACCTCAGCATCCTCTGGTGACTGAAAGCTGGCACACAGCTTATTCAAAACCTAAAAGGAGTTCTTTAAGTTCCGTGCAAAGCAAAACCTCGATTCAATTTTCATGAGAAATCAATTCTTAATATTTCAAGATCATCTTATTCTAAGTGTAATATTTAGATCTTTTCTAAATTCATTTGGCTAAACTTTTAACATGACTAAGAACATGCACATGTTGTTGAAAAGACATAAGCCTCCTATTACTGTAGTTCAAATGTCAGTGTCTAAAGTTATTTGTTCTCCCTTTGGCATAGAACATTTGGGGATGAGTTCATCCACCTATGACAAGAACAAGAACACCAAGATCTAAAAGAGAACAGACAGATCAGAGATTGTCATTTTTACGCTAAACTTGAGACCCTTTGTTCAATTACTACCCTTGTGTCTGCTGTCAGAGCCATAAGCTAATAATCAATTATTACAGATCACATGATTGATCATCCACCGTTAAAGAAGTTTGTGACCCCACACGCATGAGATTTCCCAACAAGACTGGAAACTAGAATTAGACCCGCAAAGGGAAGATGATGTAGCATTTTAAGTATAAATGTAGGGTAGCAACAGAGAATATAAGTGAAAAAGTCAAAGAAATTTGTCACACCTTCAGCCTTCCAAGCATCATTGTAAGGAAACTATACACGATGTGGAAAACTGCTAAGAAGAATATGAGAATGTGCAAGTCATGCAATCCCTGAACAGATATAAGTGGTTCATACCCCTACAAAAGAATCAGAAAAGTTAAGAGTTGAGAAGGACAAATTTTTATCTAGTAATCAGAGACAATTTCTATTTTTCCACGTCTCAAGTGAACAGAAGTGACTAGTAAAGTAAGACATAAAAACGAAGCACATAGCAGGGAGGATCACTAAGTAATTCCAGATGGAATATAAACCTTTTGATTAAAAGTAGGGACAATGATGGATTTACCATACAATTACAGATTCATTATCCACTAAATGGATTCTCCAATATAAGGCATTGGTGTGAAGAAAGAATGGACCAAGGGTACAGGTACAAATAAGATACCATCTACAACAATAAAAATCAACAGCTTTCTAATCGAAAAAATCAGTAGTTGGAAGGAGAACCCATGACTGCAGTAAGTTTGATTAATTTTGACAGTAACTAATTGACCACAAAGAAAGAGGCCATGATTCATGATATCAAAAGCTCAAATAAAATATAGGACACTTCAGTCAACTATGATTCTATGAATCTTTTGCCACTTAGGCAAAACTCAGCTAGCAAAGTACATGCACCATAAAAATTTACCTTCCTGCATTCTACAGGAGAAGCAGCTGCCAAAAATCTCCGCTCAAACCAGAGGAGTCTCCTGTGATGATTTTCCTCTTCACTGCTAGCTTCATGCTCACCATCAGCCTGGCATGGCAGCATGGTGCTAGCAACTCCTTTAGGAATGCAGATCTTGGCAATGTGATTCTGACCAAAAGTCAGGAGCAGCGAAATGAATCCAAGAACCATCAGCTCTGCAAATTATGATATCAAAGTCAAATACACATCACCACTTTCCAGATTTGATGTCAAACCATAACTATAGAACTTGTGTCTTACCAGCTTTGACTTTTTCCAGAGCCTCAAACAGAGCACTTTTGTGCCTTTCTGTAAACCACTGAATTAAAATCAAACGAAAATAGCATCACGAAATTTAGTTTCTTTCAA